TCATGTAAGCTTATTTTGAATAAAATATCAAACAAGATCGCCTAAATTTTAAAAAATAAAAAACTATACTTGTAAAATTCAACCAATTAAAGTATATACACAAATAGTAGTTTATATAAACTTATTAAAATAAAGTATAAGCATAATTACTAAAAAAAAAAAAAAATTAATAAATAAAGTCTTTTATTTAATATTGAAAAAAAAAATTGTATCGATAACTAGATTCACGTAACCACATAAAACAAGATCCGCGTTGTTATAATACAACAAGGAACTAAAAATTTCTATATATATACACATATATATATTTTAAAGTGCACAAAATTTAATGATTTATTTACCCGATATTAATAGTTGGAATATATACATATATTTCAGTTAGAACAGAGAAAAAAATAATTATTATTCTCTAATTTAGTTTAAACGATGACCAGGTTATGTATCAAAGGAAAAAAAAGAATTAACATCAAAGATAAATCAGATCGAGAATATGAGTGTGGTTGCAAAATGAGTCATTAATGCCCTCACCACCGAAAAAAAATGCGGGGATTAAGCAGTCTGATATTGTATAATAAACAAGACAATTATCGTCGATAACGGGAAACATAGTACCATAATATAAAGATACCATGTAAAATCATGGTTGGTCAATTACCTATCATGTAGGCACTTACTCCAAGACCGACGACACCGGCAGCCATACCAACTACTGTAGAAGCAATAAGTTCCCACCTTCTGCGTTTATTAGCTCGACTCTCTAACTCTGCTATTCGTTTTTTGAGCATTTCCACCTGATGAAGATTATAGAGATTATAGTCATCTACATCCTCAAACTTGCGTTTACGAGGCGGAATATTAATAATTGTAGCATCCTTATAATAAGATGGACCTTCGCCGTTGCTTGCAGAATACTCTTTTTCGTTAATATCCATACACGGAATTCTAGGTTTTATTTCTACTAAGGCCTGCGAGGTAATTTGCTCTTTAATTAAAACGGAGGATGCAGATGATTTATTATCTGGATCATCTGCAGGTGCTTCAATTGGGCTAGGATCCGGAGTAATCGCTGGAGTCACGGGTTTAGTATCATCGGTCTTACGGAAATCGTCAGAAGATATAATTTCTTCTTTTAATGGATGAGCCTCGGTTTTATTAGTGATATCTGTAACAGTTCGTTTCTCTAATTTAACAGCAGATATATGTTTCATTTGATTCATCGATACATTCGATGAAGAATTAGTAGGTGCAAGATTTGCTGGGGTGGTAATCACAGGTTCATCTGCACGATTAACTTAAAATATATAAAGTTAGAATCATAATTTAAAAACCATTAAAACGAAGATAATTTAATGTTTACCTTCATTAGGCGATTCAGGTTTTTCTATTTCACGCGATTTAGATTCAGTATAAACATTTTTACCATGATCAGAAGCAGAGGTATCATTGGCAGATGCTACCTGATCATCACTAGCCTTTTGAGCTATATTATTTGATTGAATCTCTGCCGTCTTTTCTTCTTTACTGAAAACACATTAAAGAATACAATATATATATATAAATATAAAATAAATTAAGCTAATTAAAAAAAGCAACAAATAATGGATGAAATGTACTTGTTAGATGTCGTTGAACGTGCAGAAGATTCTAAAGACGGGTCTTGGATTTGTGCTATATTCGTCATCGTAGCGGAAAGAGCTTGACTTTCGAATTTATCAGATTGGGGTTTCTCCGCATCAATAGCATGCCCAATTGCTGAGTTACCATTGAGAGAGATTGGTATATTAGGTAGATCTCTTTTTCCTTTAGGATAGAAAACGCAGGCGGATAAATGCTTGTACAAATCTATAATATGGATATTGGATTAATAAATAAATCTAAAAATTCAATAAAAAAGACAGTTTATTATTTACTTTGATTACGTCTCACACTATGTCCAAAGGTAATAATATCACCATGATCTAATTCTCGCCATTCACTATCCTGTGTACCGTCTCCTAACCTAATGTTGTTGACAAAAGTACCGTGGGTACTTTTAGTGTCTTTGATTAAAATCTATGAAGAACAAAAATTCAAGTAAAAAAGAATTAAAACAAAACCTCCAAAATTAACGGAAACCCCCAAATTAATAATAAAAAATTACCTTTCCGTTCTCTTCCTTGAGAATCGCATGCTCTCTAGACATGACATCACAAATGAATACACCATTTTCCGCTTTGGCTTCTTTCTGATTACGACTTCCACTCACTCTACCCACCTTCATCTCCTGATCAGGAGCAAATATCAAGTGTTTAGAAGCGAATGAAATCGAATCGGTAAGCGGAATTAAATTGACGGTAACCGACTTATTAGATGACGGTGATTCAGAATCAGAACCAGATCGCGATCGTGATCGCACAGGAGAAGGGAGAGACCCATCCGATTTTGTCGGCGTCCAGTCCATCGGTTCAATGTTTTGTGCATTTGTATCTCGAGTTTTATTATAATGATTGTTAATTGGTGTATCTTTTTGAATTACATTATCATTTTTATCTTCCTGATTTATTTAACATAAAAAACAGTAACATAAACATTATAAAGAAAATTTATTTAGAAAATATTAAATTATTTATAATAAAAAATAAAATAAATTCACGACCGACTTAAAATATTTTACCGTGGTAATTTTGGATTCAGGAAACTCTGCATCCTTTTTGTCGTTAGATACGGAATCAGGCACGAGGTTATTAAGATCTGGTATATTACAAGTGGCCGCTTGTCTTTCTCCGGCTAAATTATGTTCTTGACTTGGCATTTTCTTTTATATTATGAACCTCTGACAAGTTATGGTTAAAGCCAATTTACAAAGTATGCTAACTATGTAAAAATAATTTCAAAGTTTTACCCTTTATAAATTATATTTCATTTTACGTTTTTAAATCTTTCATAAGTTTTTTCGTACCTTTAGTTATATTATTTTATGTATAAAAAAAAGGTCATAAACTCTATTACGAGTCTGAGCGAAGTAGATACCTCAAAGAAAAAGACCAAAATTACGTTGGTTATGATCGGTCCTTTTTTCGAAAACGAAGTTCTATGAAAACTGCGGCTTGGAACAGATGATTGTATCTAAATTATGTGCAAATCAGAAATTGTCTTTCTATTTTCTATAATCAGTGGCTTAGTATCAAATACGGAGTATTTGCCGTAACTCCGTTATATTCATCACTTGGTAGTTGTTACAACATATATTACGACCTTTAACGTTAATTTATAGTAATTAAGAGTTCGCTCGTTTCTTTGCTTTCACTAACAAATACTGTTTTTTAATTCTATTGTAAATTTTAAAAGTGGCTATTTAACTTTCTTTTATTAAAGATTTGAGGCGTTATCGTAGTGACATTATTCTCCATGGCTTTCAAAAAAAAATTTGCACCACGCATAGCCATGCCATATTTAGTTATATTAGAAAGATCTACAATGTAACTTTATTCAATAAATTTTTATGGTCACAAAAGTCACGAAACTTCGGATAAATAAATTACTGTATGTATCGTGAAAATTTGATTTCAAATTGTTAAAATCCATTAATGATATCAAATAAGAATTATTTTCATTATTTTCACCAGTCTTTAACTAAACACAATAGAAACGTGGATCCATTAACCTGATAGTATAGAACAATATATAATTTAGATGCATGAAAATTTAATAATATTTACATAATTTATAAAAGTTATACTAACATCTTGAACTTCTTCAATGATAACTTCAGCTCCATCGATTTTTTCTGTAATTGGTAATAATGGGCGTTTTAAAGTCTTGATAATAATGTCACTTTGTGTCTTAAGGACGGTTTCTATTTGATTATCAATATCCTCGATAAATCTATAATATGTTAATACTGGATCTGTAGGCTGTAGTCCTGCCTAATATTATAATCGGTGCAAATGTGAACCAAAAAGTGAGTCACTGAACACATTTAGACATAAGTGTAAGAGATTATTCACCTTTTTTCGTAATCTCTGAACACGATTCACAATTTCACGAGCCCATCCTTCCTCTTGCAAATCATTGTATACTCTGACATCCAAAAGTATAAGGACGTCTTTATCGGTACTCGTTTCATAATGGCTATTAGCATCTTCGAAATATCTTATTATTTGAAGGTCTTCTTCGATCACTTTAATTCCATCAATTAAAATTTCTTTATTGTATACGAAATCTTTGACTTGTTCAGAAGTCAATTTAGGTAAGGCATTCTTTACTTTAACGGCGTCTTTTTTAAGTTTTTGCCCTAACACTTTCCAGTCAGCCTCTGCTCGATACTTTATACCATATTTACTTTCATCCGACGTAGCAAGAAGATTTTTGATATTTAGTTCCTATTAACAATAAACAAATAAATAAAGATTTTTAAATGAAAGTTATGATGTATGATGTGCGAAACGTACTTCAACAATATAATTTTCAAGTGACATAACGTCTGAAAGATATTGTGAATTCGAATGTATTACGACAAGCTCTTTCAATGGTGTCTAGGGATAGCAAAATTATTAAACGCAATGTCATTCTAAAAATGAAAGAAAAAACCAACATATCTTATATTATACAAACTTTAAGTCCAATATTTTTTTTTTCGCGAATAACTCGACCTAAATCAATAACTGCCTGCATGCGTGACATACGACGTTCAATCTCAGAGTCAAAATACTCATTCCTCACTTCTGGAAAAGATAAAAAGTGAACAGATCGAGTATCTTCATTGGAATCAGATGGTGGTAAATATTTTTTTAGGTTTTGGTAAATATGTTCCGTGAGGAAGGGGGTGAAAGAAGCCTATTTGGTTTTGACTTTAGAAACATATGTAACATCAAGAATTCATGAAATATTATTCAATAATGTATATTTTTACCAGAACACGGCTCAATGTTAATAAGACTTCAAATAATGTATTTAATGCATCTATGGTATCTTCTGGGCCATTTTCGCCCTTCAGTCGCTTGCGATTAAATCTAACATATCCATTGGTCAATTGTTCGATGAGATTTAGCAATCTTGGAACAACAGTGTACAATCTATAGGCTGGTTACAAAATTACACATCTGTTATCCAATGAGCAGCAACAGAGAAAAACTTCAATATATTATAATTTCATACCTTCCATTTCCTCACGTACAAACTTTATAAGACTTTGAGTACATGCCAGTATCCACCTATCCATAACATTTTCTGATTTCTTTGCCAACGGATTGTATTTAAACTCTATGTCAGTATTCTATGGAGAATATTTTACGGCATAGTAATTATTATTTTATATTATAAATGTAGATAAATATTTAGTGTACAGCTGTTTAATGAATCTCAACCTTTTTCAACAACACAACTTGCGAGTCCAAGAAACGATAAGCATTATACCAAGGCAGGAAAACCTTGGAAATAACCTCCTTGACACCTTCTTCCTTGAATCTCAATGGCTCAGCACGTACGACCGGAGAATTAACAAGATATAATCTAAAAGGTATTCAATATTATTAAAGAAAGCACATGACAATTTGCTAATATATTATTGGAAATTCAGTAATTTTACCTCAAAGCATCGGCACCATATGCGTTAATGATAATTCGAGGCTCAGGATAATTTTTAAGGCGTTTACTCATTTTCTTACCGTCTCTATATTATAATATATGTAAAAAATTAATTAATTACAAAAACTGAATTTGGACTTTATGCAATTGAAATGGCAATCTCAATACATACGATGCTAATACCAGACCGTTTGTTATTAGGTTTTTGAATGCTGGTTTATTAAATAGATGTGTAGATAAAACCATAAGTGTGTAGAACCATCCTCTTGTTTGATCAAGCCCTTCAGCAATAAAATCGGCAGGAAAAGATGCTTCAAACTTTTCTTTATTTTCAAAAGGGTAATGACATTGTGCGTACGGCATACTGTTATTAATTATAAAAATTAAAATAAGTGGTAATTCAATAATAAACATAAAATAAAATCCACATATTATATATACCTGCCAGATTCAAACCAACAATCGAAGACTTCTTCTACCCTTTTTAATACACCCCTTCCTTTTTTTGAAGGAATAGTAATATTATCAATTTTGTCGCGATGAATATCTGTCAATTTATTACAACCAGATAATTCTTCTAATTCCGCCAAAGAGCCAACACAAATAATCTATTACCGAGTAAAGTATTTGAATTTATGTGTTAGACATTAATTTACGAAGAACACTTAAATAATAAGACCAAATTCACCTCTTCATAATCATCGCTAACCCATAGTGGAATTGGCGTACCCCAATACCGATTACGAGAAATATTCCAATCTCGGGCATTTATAATCCAGTTTGCGAACCTTCTTTCTTTGACGAACTCAGGAACCCTAGATTTCAAATATAATTCTGTTATTCCAATTTGACAAGGCAAAATATTGAATGCTTTAATAAACAAAAATACACACCAATAA